GGTTCAAGCTCACCAGCTGCTCCTCGGAAACCCTCTCCAGGGTCACTATGGGTCAGAACCGATTCAGTGGTACTTGACAACAACAATAGGATATAATTCTCTCTTTTGACATATAAAGGAGTCCCGGTGGGGCTGCAGGGTAAGACAAGCTGTGAACTGCAAGGGCGGCAGTTCTCAGCCACCAGCCTCTGTGTGAGCTAGAATGAGTAGCTCCTTGGCATAGGCCGAGAGTATCAGGATGAGGCTATATTCTCTCATCAAGAGTCACTGTCTCTGACATCCATTCTATGGTTACTATGTGTCCTGGTGGGACGGTGAAGGAGGAGCAGTGCACTACAAGGTCAGTTTAAACACAAGGTGGTGGTTCAAACCCACTAGCCACTCCTTGGAAATCCTATACAGGGTCTCTATGAGTCAGAGCCAACCAACGGCACTTAACAACACTGTGCGTCAGAACCAACCTGAAGGCAGTGGTTTTCGTTTTTGGTTTGGTTTCACATATAGGGAAGTTGAGGCCCAGGAAATGGTCACTCAAGTCTAATTACAGGTGAAACCTCCACTGTAAACTGGGATTCTGAATTCCCTGGATCAGGATGGCACGACATCCTTGGCAGGACCATGTGCATTGTATTTTAAAACAATACAATGGGGTGGGCCTTTGATTACTCCCCCTGGCTGCCATCCCAACCGCTGAGACATTACTCTGCCTCCGGGTAATTGTCTTCATTAGAGTCATTGCTTTTCAGGTGGAAATGGCTTTCCTCCAAGCTCTGCTCTGGAGGTCGTGGTTGTTAAGTGCCATAGAGTTGCTTCTGACTCATAGGGACCCTGTATAGGGTTTCTAAGGAGTGGCTGGTGGATTTGAAATGCCAACAGTCCAGTTCAAACTGACCTTGATGTTCAGCGCATTAACCCACAGTGCTTCACCAGGACTGGGTTGCATTGGTATGCGAACTGCCTTGGGCTGACCAGGTGGCCTTCTGGTGAGTCCTGGACAACTCCTTTGATCAGCCCATTGTTCAGACTGCCCAACTGTAAGCCTCAACTCAAGTACCAGAACCTCAAGTACCAGAAAGGCCCTCACCTCTGGCTGGTGTCCTAAGCATGACATCAGGTCCTGGGTGACAGTGGCACCACCAGTACTTGGACTCCTAAAACAAGAGCCACCATTCTGGAGCCAGACTACCTGAGCTTCTGTAGTGCCTGAGTCTCAGCCAGGTCATCTCCAAACCTGTCTCAATCCCAACACACACATCTTCTGCCCTCCTGAATTGTTCTAGAACTAGCACACTCTGCACTCAGGAATAATGCGGGGAAGGTACACTTTATAAAAGCAAGACAGCAAAACGGAGAATCACTCAGCTTTCTGGATACACAGAATCCGGATCTTTAACCTTTTTATCAGTGGGAGTAGAAAACCAGAACATTCCCATCTGTTTGCAGGTAGGCTAGGTAGCTTTGGTTCACAAGGTTAAGCCTGGGATATTGTTAATAGCTTTTCTAGATCCAACTTGTACTAATTAGGATAATACTAGCTACTGTAACAAGTAAACCCCAAGGCATAGTAGCTTAGCACAATAATAGTTTGTTATTGCTTAAATAATACGACTGCTTAGCAGATGGTTTTCCTCTTCAAGGTTATTCAGGGATCCAGGTTTATTCACTCATTTGTCACTTTCAGTTGTTGTTGGGATGGTGGTGTACCATTGAGTCACTTCATGGTGACTTGACAGGACAGAGTAGAATTGTTCCCCAAGGTTTCCTAGGCTGTTATCGAGTCCTGAGATATGGGTCATAGGACAAGCAAGGGAGTTCTAAACACAAGGTCAGTGGCTCAAACTCACCAGCGGCTCCTTAGAAATACTTACAGGGTCGCTATGAGTCCTGGTGTGGTGCTGTGGGTTAATGCATCAGACTGCAAAGCCATTTGAACTGCAAGGTTGGTAGTTCAAGCTAATCAGCTGCTCCTTGGAAACCCTACACAGGGTCGCTATGGGTCAGAACCGACTTGATGGCACTCAACAACCATCTTTACAGAGAAGAGTGACAAGTCTTTCTCTTGTACAGCCAGTGGGTGGGTTCTACCTGCTGAGCTTTATCTTAGCAGCCAAGCACTGAACTATTCCAACAAAAGGGCTTCTGTGCCACCTCCTAAAACCAAAAAACCAAACACACTGGCATTGAGTGAATTTCAGCTCATAGTAACCCCATATCATAAATGTTTCAGAGACTGTAAATCTTTGGCAGCAACAGACAGCCTCATCTTTCTCCTGAGGAACAGTGGCATGTGAGTTTGAACCACCCAACCTGAGGTTAGCAGCCTACTCCACAGCATGTCCAGAGCTTATTTTGCCACCTTCTGGGGGATTGGAGTCCTGGTATAGCACTGTGTGAGAAATTCTGTACTGCCAACCCCAAGACTGGTGGCTCAAACCCATCACAGTCGCTCCTTGGAACCCCTATATTGGATCACTATTAGTCAGAACCAACTGCATTGTACTTTACAGAGACTAGGTGTTTGCAGTTAGCTGGCCAAATAGGGAATGTGGGCAATGACTAGTGACTTCTTAAAAATGTCAGCTTACAATGAATGTAAGGCATTTCTGCTCACATTTCTTTGACTAGAAAGAATCCCAGGACCTTACAGAGAACAAGGCAGACTGGGAAATGTAGTCCTATGTTAGGCAGCTGCTTCTGAGTCAACTCTACCTAAACAGCAAGAAAGGTACAAGTGTTTGTGGATAACAGACTCCAATCAGTTTAAAAGGTTCTTACAGACACTGGCACTGGGCAACTGGTCTATATACTTTCAATGGCTCTCCATGAGCCCTTTGGTGGTGCAGTGGTTAAGCTCTGGACTGTTAACTGAGCGGTCAATGGTTTGAACCCACCAACCACTCCATCAGAATAAGATGTGACAATCTGCTTATGTAAAGAATTACAGCCCTGGAAACCCAATGGGGCACTTCTTCCTGCCCTGAAAAGTCACTGATAGGTGGAATCCACTTGACTGCACTGGGTTTGGTTTAGGCTGCATCTCCATGGTGACAGGATAAGCCCAGGATCACAAATCAAAGTAAACCAGAGGTTAAATATCAATTTTCCAAATGGGAGGCTGGAGCCAAATCACTTCTCTATAGCTACATTTTCTTCCTCTCACATCACATGCCTCTCCTGCGAAAGAGTCACATGATCAGAGATGCATGGTAGAGCATCAGAGATAGGAAAGTCTCTTCATGCAGAGGTCCTGGCTGAAGGGTTCTCAACCTTGGCATTTGGATAATTCTTTGCTGTGGGGGACTGTCCTATTCATGGTAGAATGTTTAGTAACATCCCTAATCTCTACTCTCTAGATACCAGTAGTCTCCTCCCAAATTGTGACCATCAAAAGTGACTCCAGACATTAGCTGATGTCCCCCATTACCACTACCACCAGGTGGGGTAAGCGAAAATCACCCTCAGCTGAAAACCACTGGTCCTATGACTGAAGTGTTTGGGATGAGATGGCGCTCAGGTAAGGACACACAGCCATTGGAATAGAGTCTCCCAACACTGAAGTCCAAGTTTAAGTGAATTTAACTAAGACCAGGTCTCAGGTCATCAGAAATATTCTTTGTACAAGGGAGCTTCAAAAAGTTCATAGAAAATTTACATTATCTTTTAATTCCATTTTTCCATGAACTTTTCATAGTACCTAGTATCATGGAATAAAGGTTTATGGAACATCAGCATTAAGAGTGTCAGAATGTCATCTCATTTGCAGTAGGAAGTTGACAGGCTAAGGATTCTGTAACTCTGGTTTGGCTGGATAATAAGGTTTCAACATTCTCATCTGAAAAATGGGACCACAATGTGGATTAAATGCACTAACATGGAAAGAATTAATGGCATGCCTTACATGCATTAACAGGTTCACAGGTATTAGTGGACAGCTCATTTCGTACCCCAAATCATTCTTTCATTTGAGCACAGGAGGGTAATGTTCTATGGGAATGAGGATTTAATGCAATTGCCATTTGATTTAATTTCCAAATGCGTTAAAAGTGTTCATGCAACACATCAGTATGCAGCTGATGAAGCAGTCAAAATAAGTCAAGAAAACCAATACTTGTCAGGTTTTATTTATACACATTTGCACTTAAAAAAAAAGAAAATAAGCTGGTCTATGTGCCCATATACAATACAATATACATAGATCTCTCCCAGCTCCACTCCCCCACCCCACACACATATGTTCAAGTGCAGTTTCCCACTTTCCTCCCATCTGTCAGTTTTCTCTGCCCATGAAAAGCTAGCGGTAATGTTACCCAAGAGTGAGGGAGTGAGGGCTAAGGTTGGGCAGCTGGCAAATGTGGCAATGACGGAGATTGATGAAGACAAGATGAAACATAAGGACAGCACTTTGTTTACAAAAGGTTTCCACATCCTTGATCCCTGTCCTCAAGCCCCAGGGAATTGGATTCTTCTAGCATAGTGGTTACGAATCGGGCAGCAAACCACAAGGTCAGCAGTTCGAAACTACCAGCTGTTCCGTGGGAGAAAGATGAGGTTTTCTGCTCCCGTAAAGATTTATAGCCTCAGAAACCCTGTACAGGGTCGCTATGAGTCGGAACCGACTCCATGGCACATAACCACCAACCACCATTGTACAGTAGAAGGATCTCTGGTAGCATAGTGGTTATGAGACTCAGGCTGCTAACGTCAAGGCCAGCAGTTCAAAACTACCAGCTGTTACATAGGAGAAAGATGAGGCTTTTTGCTCCTGTAAAGACTTACAGCCTTGAAACCCTGTACAGAGTCTCTATAGGTGAGAACCAACTCCATGGCACCCAACAGCAATTGTATAATTACAAAGTCATGGAATGACGTCCATAATTCACACAGGTGGTGGTCGCATCATTGGTGGTTGTTGAGTCAGTTTCAATTCATGGTGCCCTGTGTGTTAACAGAATAAATCATTGCCTAGTTCTCAAGTCTGTTCAAATCCCTGTTCTCAAGTCTGAGAACGTGCAGGACTGCTGATGCTGGAGGTGGCTCTCCTGTCACTGGGGCTGGAGACAGCGGGGGACTTGATGACTGTCCTGATCAAGCACAACTCCACCATCCCCACCAAGCAGACGCAGATCTTCACCACCTACAGGGACAACCAGCCCGGGGTGCTGATCCAGGTGTACGAAGGTAAGAGGGCCATGACCCAGGACAATAACCTGCTGGGTCGCTTCAAGCTGAGTGACATCCCTCCTGCCCCCAGGGGCATGCCCCAGATCGAGGTGACCTTTGACATCGACGCCAATGGCATCCTGAATGTCATGGCCACCAACAAGTGTACAGGCAAAGCCAACAAGATCACCATCACCAATGACAAGGACTGCCTGAGCAAGGAGGAGATCGAGTGCATGGTGCAAGAGGCTGAGAAGTACAAAACCAAGGACAAGGTGCAGCGTGAGAGGGTGCCTGACAAGAACGCCCTGGAGTCTTATGCCTTCAACATGAGGAGCACTGTGGAGGAGGAGGGGTTCAAAGGCAAGTTCAGTGAGGCAGACAAGAAGAAGGTGCTACACAAATGCCAGGAGGTGATCTCCTCGCTAGATATCAACACACTGGCCAACAAGGATGAGTTTGGGCACAAGAGGAAGGAGCTGAAGCAGGTGTGTAACCCCATCATTAGCGGACTGTACCAGGGGGCATGTGGCCCTGGGGCTGGTGGCTTTGGGGCTCAGGCTCTCCATGGTGCCTCTGCATCTGGCCCTACCATTGAGGAAGTGGATTAAGGGCTCCTCTTGGCTTCCCGATGTTCTTCTCTGAAATTGATGGGACTCAAAGGACCTTGCATTGCCCTATATTTTTTATACTGTTGACTTCTATTTTGTTTCATGCTTTACTAAAGCTGTAATCTGATGGTGACTTGCTGTCTTTTAAAAAAAATGTTTCTGTGGAAAAAAAAAACAAAAAACATCCCGGTAACTATTGGTATGGTTGAATCAACTCTTGTAGCTGGTTTGTACTTGAAATGCCTTTCAATGGAGGGAGCTCATCTCTCAGTACCATGTCCAAAAATATTCTGATGTGCTCGACATGGTTTTTACTTGCTAAATTTTAGAACTAGTAGATCACCAGGCCTTTATTCCTCATCTTAGTCTTTCTTCTATGGTCTCCTTTATTCACTGTCCAACTTCCACATGCATAAGAGGTTATTGAATTGATGCACTTAAATTATGGTGTTGGAGGAGAATATTAAAAGTACCATGGACTGCCAAAAGAACAAATCAGTCTGTGTTGAAATAAGTACAGCCAGAATGCTCCTTGGAAGTCAGGATGGCCAAACTTTGTGTCTCATATTTCAGACATATTATCAGAAGGGACTAGTCCCTGGAGAAAGATATCATGTTTGGTAAAGTGGAGGGTCGGAGAAAAAAAGCAATACCACCAATGAGATGGATTGGTACAGTGGCAGTAGTGATGGACTCAAACATAGCAACAATTGTGAGGGCGGCATAGGATTGGGCAGTGTTTCATTGTGTTGTGTGCAGGGGCACTATGAGTTGGTACCAACTTGATGGCACTTAGCAACAATAATCTTAGTCTAGAAGTTGTGCTGAACCTCACCTCCATAGCTGACCCTGCTGGTATTTGAAGTACTAGTAGCATAGATTCAAGTATCATAGCAATCAGTAAACCACCACAGTATGGCAAACTGACGGGTGGTAGAGTCACAGAAGGAATACAGAGCAAACTCTGAACCGGAACCCATGTCCCCTGGTTTCAAATCTACGTGGTCATGCTTAAAACACAAACCTGAAGCAACTCACTGACAGAAGTCAGGACCAAAGACACAAAAAAGAACTGGAGCATCAGGATGCTTTCGAAGTTTCTGCAGCAAAGATTAGGATTCTGAAGTTCCTCAACTCTGAAAAAGAATCTTCCAGGAAAACCTAGGTCAGGAACTCAGGAGAGGTGGACCAAGGCTGACATTCAAACATACTAAACTTGCAGAGTTAGGTTATACTACAGTACTCAAGCCTCAGGAGGCATATGTGGGGCCCACCGTGAGGTGAGCTGTCCCTTGACAGGTGTTTCAGAAGATCCAGATGTTTGAAAAAAGCAGCCATTCAAGTGACCACATGGGTGGCTGCCTTAATGAGTGCTGCTTTAACAGGCTGACTGAGGCAAAGGAAGGTCACCAGAGAAACACAAAGAATTACAAGGCTGAGAGGTTCCGTCATGAAGAAGGAAACATGTTTTTCAACCACTGTTAAAGGAAAAGATTAAAAGACATCCATAAAGGAACCAGAACTTGGCTCAGGGTGGGAGGAAAACTTGGAGCCCAAATGATAATACACACCTTGAAGGTCTTCAGCTACTGTGCTTACGCAACTTGGAAACTATCTGTTGGGTGTAGCAAACTCTCAACTACATTGTATTTAGATGCTGTGATAGTTAAGGTTTTATGTCAACTTGAATGAGTCATGATGTTCAGTGATTTGGCAGATGTGGCTATCATCCCCTAGGATGAGATTTGATGCAGTGAACCAATGAAAGAATAAAGGAAGGAATCTCCCTGAATCTCCCCAATCGTGTGGCATCTTACAGGAGATAAAAGGCTACAGACTTGAGCAGAGAGTGAGAGCTACCTACTAATAGCAAGACTGAAGGGAGCAGAGTGCATCCTTTAGACCTAGAGTCGCCGCATTGTGTGAAGCTCCTAGATCCAGGAGAAGACTGATGCCAACACTGATGCCAAGGGATCTCCAAGGAATACTGGGCCTACAGATGGTAGAGCCAGCTCTCTGAATTTGGACTTTTAGCTTCCTAACGTGGTGAGAATAAATGTCTGGTTGTGAAAGCCATCCATTTGTGGTCTGTTATAGCAGCACACCTGGTGTGGTGCTGTGGGTTAATGCACCAGACTGCAAAGCCATTTGAACTGCAAGGTCGGCAGTTCAAACTCACCAGTTGCTCCTTGGAAACCCTATATAGGGTTGCTATGGTTCGGAACCAACTCGACAGCACATAACAACAACAATAGCAGCACTAGAGAACTAAGATGCTGTCAAGTTGGTCCCAACTCTCGGAGTACAACAGAAGAAAACACTGCCTAGTCCTGCACCATGCTCACAATCACTGCTATGTTTGAACCCATGGTTACAGCCAATTTGCCAATCTAGCATACTGAGGATCATCCTCATTTCATTAACCTCCTATTTTACCAAACATAATGTCCTCCTACAGGGCCTGGTCCCTCCTGATAACAAGTCCAAAGTAAGTGACAAAGTTCTGCCATCTTTCCTTGCTTCCAAGAAACATTCTGGCTAGACTTATTCCAAGATGCATCTGTTCATTATTCTGGCAGTCCATGGTATATTCAAGATTCTTCCCCAACACAATAATTCCTTAGCACCTTCTATCTAACAGGTATTTTCCCAGGTGTTGTGGATCCAACAGGAAACAAGACTATCAAAGCCACTGCCTTCACAAACTTTAGTTCAGTGTGCAAGACAGAGAGCAAACAAACATATGTAAACCACTATGTCAGATAGTAATAGAGCTAGGAGGAAACCAAAGCCCAGCACAAAGATACAGAGATTCAAGGCTACGCGTATTAGTGGGTGGTGATTATGTGGTGGTTATGTGCCATGGAGTCGGTTCTGACTCATAGCTAACAATGGGTGCTTTTTTTTTTTTAATGTTTTATGGTGAACTATGTGATAGTTTACATGGGAGAACATTAGCTTTACATTCATCCTATCGTACATCGTTCAAAGGGTATATCTTACAAGCCTGCCCCCCAGTTGTCAGCACACAGCCCCTCTACCTCTCTGGGTCTAAAGTCCCCAGCTGCTCCATCTCTCCACATCATCATCTCTGCCTCCATTTCTGGTGTTACTGTTTCTATGGGTAGGGTCCCACTCTCCGCTCTTCTCCATTGATGGTCCCAGGGATACCTGCTCCTAGACTGCAAAGTTAATCTCTCTCCTCCTTGCTACAAAATGTCTACCCTTACATTTCCAACCCTCACAATCACTCCTGATAGCAATTATTCACTATTGTATCACAAGAGACCTATCTGCATTTCATTTCATCAGCCCTGCCTAGACAGACTGGATACTACTCAGTGGAGATTCTATCTTCCTCCACGTCCTCTGGATCTAGATTCCTTCTCAAAAGCTTGTAAGCCAGTCACTTCTTGCGTTTGAAGCCCACCCCCTCTCCCCATTTTGGGTATCCAATGTCCAAGTTATCCATCCCTGTCTACTCTGTGTATGGAGGGGGTGGGAATGGTATTCGCTGTGAAGATTTGTTCCCTCTTTTGAGCTACTGCATCCATAGGTGTAGGTCCAGTTCATCAAATTGTATTAGATTACTCTTTTTTTCCCCTCTTCTTTCTTCTAGTTGAGCTCTGATCATCCAGTCATTGAAGTTAGGTCAAGAGGGTATAATCTGCAAGTGTTTGAGTGTTCTTATGCATATGCCCTCTCTTCTATCAGCTGGATGCTTCACTCTCCAATCTAGTCCTCTGTGGCTATGTTACTGACTCTGGGCCCAAGAATCCCCAGGTCTTGTCCCACTGCTGGCCAACCAGGTCTCCACCTGGTTCACAGAAGTCTACTTCAGGTTGTCGGGCTTAGCTCGCAGATTCACTGCTGTTTTTCCCTCACTTCCCCTTATCAGTGACGAATGTGGTCACCAATCAGAGCATGTATTCCCATTAGACTCTTAGTCTTGGAAGGGGGTTTGCTCTGAGGGGACCTGACCACTTGCTTTGATGTCTCCTGGGCAAGCAACTTGCTTGTTCTTATAGTAATCAGTCGGTCTGCCTTTATTGTTTTGTATTTTTTTCTGTTGGTCTTTCTTTTAAGATGTATCTTTTCTTCTAGCCACTCTAGGCTGGTCTGCTTGTCCTTTCAAGTGGAAATTTCCCACCTCTGAAGATTCTGGGTGCTGTTCAGGATTCCGCCTATGGTCTTATGTAATGCAGAGACTCCACAGGAAGCCTTCACTGGGCACCTTGTAGCCCCATTTTAGATATTCCAATCAGTTATAGGCAGAAGACGGACTTACAAGCTTTCTATGGTAATATTTCTGGCTATTCCTTTCTCTCCTCCTCCAGTGTCTATTTTATAATGGTATGCCAGGGAAACCAAGATTCAAAAGATAGCCAAGCATCTTAACATTATTTCTCTCCTTTTCCCAATTCCAACTATGTCTCAATCCCTGTATCCAAGAGCCCTGTTGTTCCAAGATTGTGCATACATCATTATTTACCTCTGTCCCACTTAGCCCATGCAAACCTGCCT